CCTACCATCAGTGTTTTTGCCCACATCGTTCCTCCTCCACGTCACTTTGAACAGACACTCACTACAGCGAGATAGAATCTGTTGTGATATGTGTCGCACAGATGAGTGTACGTCACCGCACCTACTGTGTGGAGATTATTCCACAGATTGTATGTAGTATGTGTGATTGACATGTGTGTAGTGCATAGCTCTGTCGCCTAGAAGAGTGAGAATATGATTCTCAACTTTTCACACCGCACGTAGAGAGAACTTATAAGATTAGTGAGTCACTATGTCTGTATATACGGAGCAGATGAAAGACGTAAATGAGTACTGTACGCGCTAGTGTCCTTGTCACTGGACTGGACGAGAGTAGTGGTATGAGGTAAGTGGATAGGAGAGAGAAATTAGAAGCTCTAGTGTGTTCTCGTATAGCATGAGTTGGATGAGAGCCTGAGAAGGCACAGGAGATATGTATACGAGAGATTCGCTCGTGTGCTATTGGATCATAATATAAAGTAATGTTCATAATAAGATAATATTGTGAGGAATCTTGTGAAAGTATATGTAAATTATCGTAGTGGATGGCAGATAGGTAAAGAGATCAGTGGGTTCAGATGAGAGAGATGTGCTCGTTAATGTGAGATACATGAGGGTGGTCAGTTCCCTCTGAGTTGGGGGAGACGCAAGAAACTTGGAGAGACGTGATCCAAAGGCGCAAATAGAGACTCTGACGATTTCATTCCGATATGAAGTAACTGGTGCCGAGTGACAAAGGCGGAGTGTTGGATCGAGCAAGGGAGATATTACTGCTAAGGTGTGTAGCGCTGTTTGTGGCTCTGTCATCGCTGCGTCTGAAGGCGTCTCTCGTGAGGCACGCATCTGAACGTCAGTGGGGTGTTCATCTGCTGTCCTGGTTCTCGTCGTTGTTGTGTTTGTCGACCGCTAATATCTGCATGATCTAAAGAGTAGAATGCGTGTGTCTCTATGATGGTGGTGGTCGTGTTACAGAAGTGTCTGATGGCTCTACGTAAGTATATCAAGTATCTCGCTCGTGATGTTTGATTGTGCTGTCGTCTCGTCTGGGGAGATTCTGTTCTCGCGTACTGTGTATTTGATAGGAAAGAATGTGCAGATATTGCTGGGCTTGTTGAATAAGAATATTTGGTGTTGTTGATTAGAGTGGTGTGTATCCTGTTTATGAGAGCTAGGTGCAATCGTAATCACGGGAGGTGTCGATAGAGCGCTCTCGCGCCTTCTCAGACTCGAAGTTACAGAAGATGCATGCAGATCTACAGAATGAAGTATCAGCATAGTCAGTGACTAGAAGAAGGATTGTATTGTCTCTGCGTATAGTTGATGACTTGTAGGTACTTCTTTATGTGCAGTCTTGGCGTTGTTGTGGTACTCTATGACTTCGTGGTTCTGCTAGACTTGCTGGGTGTCCTAAGCTTTGTGTCGTCGTGAGAGCTTACTTGTGTTGTGCTATAGAGAGCTGCTCGAGTTGTCTACATGTCAAATGGAGTGAGGCGAGATTTTGAAGGTATCATGAGTGGCTAGAAGTAGAATATTGATTGAGTCGATATATGAGTAGAGTATAGAGAATCGCCCGGAACCGTACTCAGCCACGCTATCGTCCATTATCGTTGCAGCCCTCATCATGCGCTGTGTTTCGTGCACGGAGCAGCGAGTTGTGCTTACCTTTAGGCTGTTTGACCTCTCCGTTCTCCCTCTTGATCTGGTTCATCAGTTTGTTGTGTTTCTTCTCGCGCTCCTTGTCTCGAACTCTCTTTTTCTCTCGCTCCTCCCTCTCCCGCTCTTTTCTCTTGTTGTTGGTCATGTGCTCTGCATGAACAAAGAAAAAGGCTATTATACAAAGCCAAAAATTATAAAAAACATTCCATTGATTAAGAGATTGTAAGAAAACAAACAGTAAAAACTGTCATTGATCAAGTCTCAGGTGTTTCTGCCAGAAAGTAGAAGAGGACAGATTATATAATAGGTATAAAACAAAAGAAGACTAAAATAACATTCTTGGACCATAAAATGCATTATCTTCAGAAATTTGTATTCCTTCAATACTCCAAAAATAAAAAAAAACATGGCCAGCGTCCTAATTCTATTAATTCTTCCTCTACAAACTGATAGAAAGCGTCAGTACTTGCGGCTGTTCTTTTCTCTGGATCTTTTTACTTTGAACTCTGCAGATCCACTTTTGAACATAGCTCAGCTCTCTTTATTCACTCCTTCACAAAAATCAAAGCAGAAAGCTCTTTGACAGTGCAGAGCTTGAGGGAGCACACAGAAATAGAGGTGAATCTCAAATATAACAAATGGAATTGACTCCATTTGGAATTAAGCCAAAAAAATGAATGAAGTTGGGTTAATGAATAATTTGTAAATATCAAAATACTGGAACTAAAACTACGCAGGGAGAGTCAAGGAAAAAATATTTTGTCTACTAGGGTCAGAAATCTAGGGGTAATACTGGACTCAGACTTAAATTTTAATGGCCACATCAAATCAGTAACATCAGCAGCTTTTTACCATCTAAAAAACATTGCCAGGATCAAAAACATAGTGTCTAAAGCAGACTTGGAGATTCTTATCCATGCATTTGTCTCCAGTAGGTTAGACTACTGCAATGGCCTGCTCACAGGTCTGTCCAAACAGGCTGTAAAACAGCTGCAGTACATTCAAAATGCAGCAGCTCGAGTCCTGACCAAAACCAGGAAGTACGACCACATTAGTCCAGTCCGCAGGTCTCTGCACTGGCTTCCTGTGGCTCAGAGAATAGACTTTAAAACAGCTCTGCTTGTGTACAAGTCTCTCCATGGCCTCGCACCAAAATATATTAGTGACATGTTAGTCCCATATGAACCAGCCCGGACTCTGAGGTGCACAGGGACTGGACTCCTGTTAGTGCCCAGAGTCAGAACTAAACATGGGGAGGCTGCTTTTCAGATTCATGCTGCTAAAATCTGGAACAATCTTCCTGAAGATGTGAGACAGGCCTCCTCTCTGACAATGTTTAAAACCAGGTTAAAAACGGTGCTGTTTAGCTGTGCATACAACTGAGGGATTTTATGTTTTTATCTTTCTTTTTAATGTACTGTGATTATTTATGATTTTAATGCTATCTTGTTCAGCACTTTGAGTTGCCTTGTGTATGAATTGTGCTATACAAATAAACTTGCCTTGCCTTGCCTTACTACATAGAATATATACTGAATGAACACAGATTCCCATAACGAGACAATAAAGATAAATTGTCCATCCATCCATCCATTTTCTTCCCCTTAATCCATTTCTGGTTCGGGGGGGTGGCAGTCAGAGCTGCTCCCAGTACACTCAGCACCAGCCCCTCACTGATCCTCCTGCAGGTGGTGAGTCCATTACTCAGCAGGGGCTTCATGCAAAGTGGGGTTAAGTGTCTTGCCCAAGGACACAACAACAGCAGTCATCAGTGGCAGGTCTTGTAGTGGCCTTCAGGCTCTAAGGCCAATGCTCTACCAACTGAGCCACTGTCCCCCCAAGATAAATTGTCAACTGTCCTGAAAGAAGTTATATCTTACAAAACTAAATCCAATAAAATGTTCCCCTGCTATTTGATGTGATCTATTAATCACTTTTATAAATGGTTTTATAAAAGCTGGGATGCCTAACTTTAAAAACACAACATTTACAGAGACCCAGGACCTATTGGAATTTACCTCAGGATTTCCCCAGATGAGCTGGAGGTAAGTGGTGTGAGACAAGTTAGCATATGTTAGTGCGGAGTATTGGAGTAATGCAGCGAAAACCATTTGTGAAGTGTGGGGAAAAGCAGTCACAGTAGGAGGATTCACGCTTTTAACTGGAGCGAGAAAGACTACAGAGGGCGCACAGAGGACATCCAGAAAGGACCAGCCTATAACAACCAGCAGGACAGGACCATTTTTATTCAGGATTTTAAAAAGAGCTTTTATCACTACCCCCATAGTACGATACAGTGAAGTGACAAAGGTCAGTTCATATCAGAATAAATGTATGTTCAATTATGTTTATTGACTAGGGATGCATCGGGGTCGTTATACAATACAATGCAATTTATTCTTATATAGCCCTAAATCACAACACTAGTCATCTCAGAGGACTTAACAAAACCATTGAAATCACCAACACAAATCAGAGAATCAACAGTTAAAACACAAAAAGAATATAGAAAACATGTTGATAAATGTCCATAGGCTTGTACTCCTACTCATACCATAGAACTGATCCCCACATGTTTTATTTACATTATCGTCACAACGGCAGACAGCTGTGTGGCACGAGTTGCCATGATGATCACCAAAAGTCGGCTGCTTAGCTTAGCCGCTAGTTTAGAGGCAAGCGGACAGAATGTCGGCCATATGGCAGTTTTTTACAGTAAACGAGTGAGAAGCAGACTGTACGTTGTGTAAGGCAAAACTGTCACGAGGTGGGTCCAAAACAAACGCGTACAACACCAGCAACTTGATCAAACATCTGAAAACTCTCTACCCTCATGGAGTTTAGCACCGGAGCACAAAAACAACCAACATAGCACTGACAGTGGATTTTATTGTTGACTGGTAAAACAATTGTTAAAGCATGTTCTTATTGTTGAAATGAGAAATAAAACATTTTGAATTTCAGTTGTATTAGTTTTTATGAATTCCCAGGGATTACACAACGCAGTATTCAAATAAAGTACAAAATGATATTGGTGCATCCCCACTATTTCCCATACCTACTGTGTAGAATGTGGTTGGAAAAATATTGCTTTGGGGCTGTACTTTGGCACAGGGACCAGGACAACTGATCCATGTAAAGAAAGAATGAATGGGGACAAGTATCATGAGATTTTGAAAACCTCATTCCATCAGCAAGGGCATTGAAGTTGAAACGTGGCATGACAAATGATCCCAAACACACCGCCCGGGCAACGAAGGAGTGGCTTCATAAGAAGCATTTCAAGGTCCTGGAGTTAACTGGCCAGTCCCCAGATCTAAACCCCAAAATAACACTTTTGGAGGGAGTTCAGTTGGAGGTCACTGCTTTCATCTCCATCTGAAATATGACACAATAATCCACCTCACCTCTGTGCCATTACAGTATGTCTTTTAATAATAATATGAACAGCTCTCATAATGACTAAAAACAAATAAGTTATTAAATGACTCTTTAACACAAAAATGTCCATTTAAGGCAGCATTTCAGATTTATGCATGTAAAATCTGGAACAGTCTTCATAAAAATGTTAGAGTACTTCTCTGAGAATGTTCAAATCCAGGTTAAAACACTTTTGTTAAGCTGTGAATACAACTGAGGGATTTCGTCTTTACTCATTTTAATGTACTGGATTATTTATGATTTAATTGCTTTTGATCATTTCCATCTTGTTTTTGTTCAGCACTTTGAGTTACCGTGTGTATTAACTGTGCTATACAAATAAACTTGCCTTGCCTTTCCTTTCTTGAGGGTCTGTGTCAAAAGCCACTTCAGAATTGCATCTTCAGACCCATATTGTTGGAATGGAATGGAATTGAAATAAAAACGGCAATGTGAATTCAGTGATATGGACTGTCATGTTTCAATGCTGTGTCAATGGTGATGCACGTCGGAGCAAGGTATTGCATGTATTGCATGTGCGGCGGTATTGCATGTGCGGTGGTATTGCATGTGCGGCGCGGAAGAGGCAGTGCGTACAGCAACTCGATGCATTCGGCGAAAGCAAGAGATACCCTTTCCTCTGAAAGCACACGTGCATCTATCAGAGAGCTGCAAAGTGGTCACAGCCAAAACAGGAGCTAAACCAGCTCTAAACCGTAATTGGACTGGCAATGTGCTGCTAATGTGTAAGCCGACATGACAAATTTATTTATTTAGGTTTTAGAAAACTAATCAATACTTATATGAAACACTTTTATAGTGATATAGTTTTCAGCCATACTGCCCAGCCCTAGGACAACGTATACCTGGGGTTCTGGCCTGACCAGCATTGACCAATCATTTTACATTATTTTCAAAAACATTGGGATTTGAATCTCTGACTCAAGCAGCACATTTCATAAGCTGTGTTTGGACAAATTAAATTGAACAGCTAAGCACCCAATCCGATATAACAGGCAGTGGCTACAGAAAAGCAAATACGACCACTACCATGTGCGGCGTCATTTATCCCATCACACATCTGTGTTTCAATTATATAGAGCTGCAGCTATAGAATATTTTAGTAATCGGGTATTCTATTGAATATCCTGATAAATGAATTGAGTAATCAAATAAAATATATTTTATGACTTAAAGCTGCACTAACTGACTTTTTGAAGCCGTGGACCCGCTGGCCTCGCTCTTTCTGCTCCCCTCCCCGCACCCACGAAGCTATCGCCCCCCACACACACTCACTGTTGGGACGGAGCTAGTGTCTCCCAATATGGATAATACATGAATATGGATTTGCACGTGGATGGTGTGACCATAAAACGATAGAACCGGGAAGCGCGGAGGAATGGGACTTTCTTTTGGATGGCTGTTTCGCTAAGTCAGCAGTAACCGGTGATGAAGACACGAAGCTTCATGTTAGCTCCTCGGCTTGTTGTGCTAACTCAGCCGTCTATGCTAACAGACCTGTAGATTTCTCACGAAAGTGGGGGCCAGTGGTCCGTTGTGATTGGTCACAATCTGCGACCCGAAACACATTCTCTTCCTTGTTTCATCAAAACTCGATCTAAAATATAATGTCACGCCAGCACAAATCTGCGCTAATTATTCTTCAAAAGGACGTATATCCCAATGCACTGCTTGGACATGGATAGCATTTTCGTAATGAATACGAAAATAAAGTCAGTTAGTGCAGCTTTAATATAAATACAGCGCATCCGGAAAGTATTTACAGCGCTTCACTTTTTCCATTTTTGTTATGTTACAGCCTTATTCCAAAATTGATTCAATTCAATTTTTTCCTCACAATTCTACACACAACATAATGACGACATGAAAAAAGTTTTTTTCATGTCGTCTTGCAAATTTATTAAAAATAAAAAAAAACTAAGAAACCACATGTAATCATTGTTGCTTCTTAATAGCAGAAGTTCTTGTCGTGTCTCTAACTTTAGTTTAGCATGTTATAAAATACTGTTATTCTAGTGCAAGAATTATCAATATTATCATTATGAAGCGGTTTTATATTGTGCATGTGGATTAAGTGTCTTGTCCAAGGACCCAAGGACAACAGTCATCAGTGGAAGTGAAGTAGGTCTCGTGGTGAGCTCAAACTCACAACCTTTCAAAAGGTACTTACTTGGCAAATGCATCGCCGGTAATCGATCGTAGGAGAAAGTATCGCAATATATTAAAAAAAATAATAATAATCGATATCGTCACACTCCTACTCTATACTATATGCTAGCTCCATCTTGCGATATTTGCATACTACTGCGTTTTCCCTTTGATTTTAGTGTGAAGTTTTGCCACACTTTGGAAACTTTTGATGCGTCTTAATTCCCTCGTTTTGCTGTTGCTCTCATTGATTGTGATGCTCTTCCCCTTCACTTTCTGCGTTGTTTTCCATTGTGAGCTATGTACAATCTATGGAGCGAGGTTGGCAAAAACATTTTACACACACAAGCAAAGCCAGTATTTAAAAATACCAGTGCTGTGTAGTGCAGGGCACATAGGATCTGGGCTGTAAACACATTGTGCAACACAAACAGAATCTGTGCGAAACATGAACTTTTACTACAATTTATTAAACAAGGAAAACTATACAAAGCCTCAAGGAAGCACAAATTCCTCTAATTCTTTTCGTCTTGAAATACTCAAGAAACTCGAGTTGTTTCAGCTGTACAATGTTATTCAACTCAAACAATTGTTTCTTGAAAGCACAACAACCAAGGGTTATTGGCGTCATAGTGTGGCCAGTTTTGCAAACCTTATCAGGTGGGAACATTGCATATTTTGCATCATCGCTAACATAATCCTTCCTAAAAGTAATGCAGAAAAAACTAATCCATGCATTTGTCACCTCAAGGCTCGACTACTGTAACGCCCTGCTGGCAGCGTGCCCTAAATCCACTCCAGTGTTAATATCACTCCACTGGCTTAGTATAAAATATAATTTAAAATCCTTTTAGCATACAAGGCCAAGGCCATATATGGTATGTCACCATCCTACCTCCAAGATACGTTAGTGTCATATCAACCAAGTAGAGCACTGCTCTTGAAAAATTCCAGACTTCTGGTGGTTCGTAAAGTGTCAAAAAGCACAGTAAAGAGGGAGAGCATTTAGCTACCAAGCTCCCACAATGTGGAATCAGCTCCCCGTCCACGTTCAGAAAGCAGACACAGTCTTTAAATTCAAGGTCAGGATCCATCCATTTTTTTCTGCTTCATTTGTTGCCAAGTCGCGAGGGCAGCAGTTTTGAATGCGCTGGAAAACGGCTGCAAGTCCGAAGTAGCTCTGAAACAGTTGTTGTTTTGTGCTTTTGAAATTTTCTTTGCATTGCTTTTTTCTACCTGAGATGTTGCTGCAGTACAGTACAAACCAACAAAGATGTTGTCTTTGGAGAAAGACCCTGTACATTTTGGGAGCACTGTAAATTAATCTTCACCTTTTTGTCACCAGTTTTGGGCCTTCTTCTGCCACTTGGACCACTCATGCTACACTACCTCACAGAGCCAATGAAACGCTTTGAAACACTGACACAGTTGATACACAAAGCAAAGCAGTGGCGGCAGTGTCCATGAAGCTAACCCTAAAAATGAATGTAGCAAACCAAAAAAATGAATCCAAGACCTCTGACCCCAAACCAAGTTATAAGTTGAAAATATTAAACTATTTTTTGGGAAGGGGGGTCATTCAATTTTTTGTTTTGGCAATGGAAATTGGAGTTTGGAGTTTGTTTTTCACTGTGTGCGTCAGAAATTAAAATACAATGAACAGAAGGTACACTGACCATAAAGGTCCATCTTTTCTTATCACCTGGTTTCAAATGTAATCTTCCATATTGTTGTAAAACAAGGAAATGGAGGAGAATGATTCATAATAATGTTACACTTTGCAAAGAATCTTTATCATATCAGGACTCGACATTAACGGTTGTCTGCTAGCTCGGGGCAACAGAAGATTTGGGACGGACAAGTGCGCTGTTTTAACAAGTTGCCCGATTGGGCAAGTGATGTATTACTTTAACCCATTCAGGCCGGGAACGCATTCCTGCATTTCTTCCGCCGGAGACACAAAAGGATAAACAGAAAAAAAGACTTGTCTCTTTATCTTTTTTGACCAATTATCGTACAAAATTTCCCCAGACCCGCAATTTCCGACTTTTTTCCCCTGGCAATGTTATTTCTGTGAATTGTGTGACCATCATGGGCCCTTTCTGCTGTTTGCTGTACTCGAACGCGATTTACATCCTTTCTTCTGACCCCGGGAGCAGCTACGACCGCTTTGACAACAGCTCAGCGGACGCACAGCCGTATAATACCGAGCGCGGACAGAACCATAGACGCGTGGACAGAACCATAGGCGCGTGGACAGAACCATAGGCGCGTGGAAAGAACCATAGGCGCGTGGACAGAACCATAGACGCGTGGACAGAACCATAGACGCGTGGACAGAACCATAGACGCGTGGACAGAACCATAGACGCGTGGACAGAACCATAGACGCATGGACAGAACCATAGACGCATGGACAGAACCATAGACGCGTGGACAGAACCATAGACGCGTGGACAGAACCATAGACGCGTGTTCAAAACCATCCCCAGCTTGTTGCAAGTGCAGGTCTCCTCCTTGTCTCATACCGTACTGCAACCAAAAAAGTAAGTAAGTAACAGAACACATGGTTTTATTTTGCATATTTAAGTCATTATTTGACTTTTTGGGCTGAGAGTGGATTTTTGTTCCACACAGTTAGTGCCACTATATTGCCAAACTCTTATTCACTCATTGTATTGAGAAATATTTGGGCAAGTAATTTTTGACATTGGGCAAGTAAAATATAAATAATGCTAAATGGTTTTCAAAAGGTTATTGCTTAAACCATATCCCTATCCCTTGTAGCTATTGTCAATTGGGCAATAAACGTAGTGACTGTGTGTCAACCTTGACTTAAAAATGGAGTTTAAAACCAAAACGAACACAACAATAATTTGAACAAAGGGGTTTAAACCTAAACGAACAATGAATTGGCAATAAGAATTTGAACAAATTATTGTTCACTATAAAAAGTATAGTTAGCAACTGTTCTAATGTCATGAAAATCGGGACAAGAATTATATTTGATTTGGCATCGAATTGCAAATTATGTAATGCTTGTAAAATATTTGCGCTGCTGTTTATTACTATAACACCTAGAGCTTTGAGTCATGACTTGAAATTACGTAATAACGATATAATAAACTCGAACAAAGGATTTCCCACCACAAACGCCACTATCAACTCATTCGTTCCTCCCGTAAAGGGTTTTTCTTTACGCACAACAAGCAAAGCGAGTTCCCTATTCCGCTCGGGGAGGGGGGCGTGGTGCGCTCCTATACCAAAACAACGCTTAGCTCATAATGGCGGGCGCCTGTCATAGTGTTGGGACAGGTTCAACACAATTGCACTGGATAGGCTCGATAAAGCGGACGACAGGGCTTTGGCATAGTAATCGCTCCTAGTCACACAAACACATCGAGGCCATTATCCACTTATTCTTTACTCGAAATTGACGTGGAAACTTAAATAAGTGAGCGTGCAGTTGCTCGTGGGATAAAAGAAGCACTACTACTGACCCGTTTGCATTCATAAACCAGTGCTTATCAAAAAACTAAATTACGTATATATGTGATAGCCCTAAAACAGCGAGCATGCCTCTACAATCTAATGTAACGTATGTCACGAAACGTCAAAGATTCCTGTGAAATTCCCATCATAACCCTGCAGTAAATGACACTTGCACACAAAAAACGGCTTCGTTTGAGAATTTGAATTATATTGATATTTTAACGTAGCTGCAATAATAGATCATAATAGCGTAAAAATAGCGAGGCATTATTGCGCTGACATGAACAGAAAAAAGTAATTTTAAGATTCAAAATGACTGCTTTAATATTACGTAAGGACAATTACAATACAACTGATTCAATTAGGACATTTCAAGATCAGTGCATGTCAAGCAAATCTGCGATGAGCACTGGATGAACGCCTGTGATCTGAATTTCATGAAAAAACACAATGCAATTCCACAAAATACAGGACAAATTACAGTAGTTATGCATAGCAGCACACTTGACCACATGAGCCAAATACAACGCTACATGACGACAAAAAACAACTCCTGATCCAGCTTCAATGAACTCACGTCACAACTTCATTCAACGTTTTCCCTAAAAACAGAAAGACTTTTATAAAAACAGATAATGCATTTGTTATGGCCTACCTTTGCATGGCAGCGTGATCTCGGTCGCAGTGATCTCCCCATTCTCTGGTGTATTCGTCGGGGCGACATGGTCAAACCTGCTTATAACGCTGCTGTTACTGATACTGTTATTACCAATGTTATTCGCAGTTAGCAATAATAATTTATGTTTCTTTTTGCGCTCTTCCTCTTTATGTTTATCCTTCGATGGGTTTTTGCTCAGTTTAGGTTTCTTGTGCGGGGGTAAATCGTTGGGTTTGAAGACTTTTTGCTTGTTGGACGACGGCAGCTGGGAGTGAGGTGCACCGGGGACTGGCACGCTAGCTTTGCCCGGAGTAGAGTTCCACAAACCCGGGTGTTTTGGTGCGTCTTTTTCCGCCTCGCCACTGCTGGTTACAGGGACTTTCTTGGGCTTCACGCATCGTTCTTCCAATCGGCTCTTCTTGGGCGGTGGTGGTGGGTGAACGTCCCGGGGTATGGTGGGGGGCTTTAGCCGGATTTCGTGCGCCTCCGTCGGCGTGGGGAGCTTGTGTTTGGTGGGTCGCTCTACCGCAGTGGTTGTGGAGGCAGCTTCCTCAGTCAGGCAGTCTGAGCCCAGCGAGGCCGCCATCTTGAGCCTTCTCTCTCTATTTACGCCACGGCTGTGTTTTTCTTTTTTTCTTTTTTTTTTTTTTTTTTGACGTGCGCGTGCGAGTTGCAGCATGAGGGCGGGACGTGTGTGTGACTGACAACAAGAGGGAGGGGTGAATGGGTGTTTGTTGTTGCAGGGATTTGTTATTTATTTTTAATATTATTAGTGTGTATTATTACTCCAAAAAATCTCCTTAATAATTTTTTTTTTTTGCTACTGCTGTTTTAAACCCAATGATCTTCACTTTCTAAAATGACAGGAAAATCAAACTCAGGCCCGTGGGCCAAATCCGTCCCGCAAGACAACTGTTAGTGCCCCCTGATGGTGATTTTCAATTATCATTATTAAAGTAATTTGCAGCATTGATGGTAATGGGCTACTTCGCTATGTTATACTTAATTTTATTTTTCTATTTTCATTTTAGAATCCGTGCAAAACATGAGCTTTTCAGGGAAACAAACTACAGGTTAGCTAACCAGTGGCATCGACTACATGTGCTTTTACTTATTTGGACAACTCCCTGATCTATGTAACCCTGGGGGGAGGTGATCATTGATCTTCTCTTTGATTTTGATGTTCGAGACATGATGAAATTTAGTTCAAAATCGTAGTGCTTATGTTCCTCCGGGTGCTCCGGTTTCCCCTACCACTAAAAATATGTACAATAGGTCTGGCATGTGCCTCCTGTACTGGCACCCCACTCCCAGTGTAAACCGCTTTGAGACTCCGATGTGCAGTGAAAAGGCGGTATATAAATAAAGATTACTTACTACTACTACTACTACAATTACTACTTAAACTTGGCCCCTGACCAAAATGAGCCTTTAGAAACTGTTTCAACTAGTCTAGGCGGTAGTCATATATCAGGCTGATATTTTAGTTAAAACTTCAACCTATATATGGTTGTGTTGTCAACCATTGTATTGGTCATAGAATGTACTTTGCCGATGGTGATGAAACATAAAAAAGAAGTTTGAAGGGGTTAGTCATCTATAAGTTCATAGATACAGCTTTATTCTAATTAATTGTGCTTAGTCAAGTGAATTCATTCATTGTGGTTAGCCTCACGGTCTGATGTTTTGTTTATTGTCATATTCCCCGTCAGTATGAAGCAGTATAATATTCCATAACAGCATCATTCTAGTGTTTAATACTTGAAATGTCTCAATTAAGTATATTTTCCATCCATTATTCAACAGAATTTGCATTTGACGTAGTAGAATGATGTTAGTAGAATTTTATGCGTTCTACTTTCATCGCCTCTGCCCGTTGTACATGTTTTTAGAGGTAGGGAAAACCCGAGAACCAGGAAAACAAAACAGACATGGGGAGAACATGCAAATTCACTCAGAGAGAAACGCTCTTTCTGATCCTTTCTGAGCCTTAACCACTGCACGTGTGTCCTTATTAAATATTCATGTTCCATTCAATTTCTTTTGCATCATTTCACTGCTGCTTTAAGTTCAAGTCAATGAGCTTAATGTATTCTCTGCCTCATACAGGCCTCTCCATACTGCCCCTGTAAAAGTTCTAAAAGAGAAATTAAAGTTAAGGTTATGCCCTCTGCTGTATAGACTCATCGCAGAAAGCAATGGAGCGATAAATTGGCAGTGCACGCACACACCCAGCTCAGTAATGCGTTTGCACCCTCTCTTATTGTATTTCTGCAGAGACGTGATTTATCTCTGTCTTTCCTCTGCCTGGTGTTTGGTGCCGTTAGTCAGAAGCCCTCACTGCGCTCTGTCACTTTGGCCTTATCAAACACAGGCCAGTGTTGAAGTGCATTTCCACTGCTACTGAATCACCGAGACAATTGTGCGTATGCTGTCAGTGTGGAGCTTGGCTATATATTTCAGGCCTCCTAGATCTAATCTCATGGAGGTCTTTCTCTGACCAACATTGTGACCACCAATCCATCCTTTTTCTTTCGTACCATTCATTAGATGTACACTACTTCCAGCTCATTGGAGGGAATCCCGAGGCATACCCAGGCCAGCTGAGACTTAAAGTCCCTCCATCGTGGCTTGTTCGTTTTTTGGTGAACTGCCGTGTCTTGGTAAGTTTTCAGTTGTGCCACACTCTTTCTAATTCCTATTTATGGCTTAAACACTTCTTCTTCATCTTCTTCTCTGACCTCTCTGGTGTGCTCTTTGGACTTCATGGTGTTGTTTAGTGATCAACATACTCTAAAGCATACCTCAGAGACCCTCTCAGAACAGCTGTTATTAGCTGTGAGAGTTTGGAAAGATGTGAGCATTCACTCAAGGGAAATGCTGTGTAAATACAAATATATATAATATATATATAATCTTGATTTCACTTCACAGTTGTTGTACTACGCTGTGGTCTTTCAGGAAAAACTGAATGTACAAAGTCATTATAGTTATAATACTACTTTTGCAACCCATTTTATATCCTCCACTTGGTGGAATGTGTGTATTTTAAGATACAGAGTTGTAAAGAATTTAGATGGACTAGTGAAATGAAAAATGAATGAATAAATCAAATAATAGGAAGGCGAAGTTTGGCACTACAACGGTCTCTTACCCATCGGAAGACAAACTGAGATGCAATTAGCTTATTATTATTACTATTAATAACCTTTATTAATTAATATAAAATATACACAATAAAGACAGTATATTGCATAGAAAATGAATATATCAAAAGAAGGACCTAGTTATCCTTTTCCTCTGCTAGTGATAGCATAGAGATAGGGCAGGCCCAAAGCCTTAGTTACCCTGAACACTTCACCATACCCTTTACTGAAAACATTATTTCACTATCTACAGCATTTCATGTTTAATGCCAAAAATAATGCTTATCTTTTCTTCTCTGTCTGCTTTATCAATAAAACATAAACTCTTAAATAATCTTAGCTGAGCCATCAGCTGAAGGACTAAGCATGACCAGATCATCATATATTCCAAACCTACAATACACACCAACAAACAATAATGATACGTGTTTCAATACATCCAGATAAATACTGCACAACGATTCATTACACTAAATCAATATGGCAGTTTTATAAACAAAGGGGATGGTACCCTCTGGTGTACAGGTGCTTTGATATATTCTTTGTTGTTGCATAATTATGTTTGATGAAAATGAATTTATTTTCTGGGGATATTTATGTAGGGAACACACAGGAAATAGGCTTAGAGACTTGAAATGTGGAAAAACATTTTACTCATTGAAAAAAGTTTTGTTTTATCAAGCGCCTAAAGAGAGGAATATCATAAAATAATATATATTTGTTCGAACGGAAAGAGTATTATGAAAATGAACTGTCAGACCACAACATGCTGTTTTCATCTTTGTAGACAACAAGTTATCTTTGGCATAATTGTAAGAAAAATCCCTGTGAGTCACTTTTTGATGCTGTGGGTTGCCAGCTTTATTGTCTGAGAGAGGACTGTCCTCTCTTTTTAACTTTTCTGTCTGAAAAAGCTGATCTAAAGATCAGACATTCTTGAAGCTAGAACTGTTTAAAGAAGGAACTAGTTACATATTTTATTACAAAGAATTTGTTTTCAATTTCTGACTTATTTTGTTACACAACACATCTTGTCAATGCTTGTTTGTTCCTCACAGGTCGGTGCAGTGTGTGCAGTGATGCCATCACTGTATCAGACTGTTTTGGTTTAGAGGAAATATTACTTGTTATTACTCTTGTAATAAAACTTTATATATAAACGTTTGTTCTAAATGTATATCTTTATTATTTATATATTTTCTATTTTTTATCTGTTTTCTTTTAATACAATATTTAAAACTTTATTGAAGTGTCTGTCATCCTTTTGAATTAAGTGCAAAACTGCCTGTGTTCGTTTTAACGTTGCAACTTTGAGCGTCCCCTTCCCTGGGTATAAAGAATCCCCTTCCCTCGGTGTACCACTAACTAAACCAAGCGTTCCCTAACTACATTTTGAACACAAACAGATATTTTGCAGTTAACCCCTCGTCCCTGACTCATATTGATATTTGGTATACAAAGGTTCTCTCATGTATTGCTTTAGTTGCATCAAGTTTACAACCCATAACTCGTTATAATTATCATTTAAAAAATGAAAAAGATTTCGTTTTTTGAAAAGAAACAAGTGTTTAAGAATAAAGCACCCTTAAATAAATACATTCAATTGAATAACATACTTGAAGTGTAACCATTGTAAACAACAAATCCTAAAATAAACGGGTAAATGAAAGTACCACAGATTTCCGAAAGAGACCGCTGTTTCTCCACCTGCATCTACTAACTACTATTGCAAAGCTTGCACAGCAGGGCGTTTTTTCCTCTTTACTACAAAAAAATAGTGGACAGAAGAACAGAATGAAAGACTGCACGCACGGGACGACTCGGGAGAAACAGGTTTTACATACTGCTTATGATTTTAAATTGAACTGAATTTTGTTTGTCGAAGCGGTGGAGACGCACAGTGACTGCACCCGATGAAAGATGTTTCCAGGACACAGATGGATACGAGAGCATCTGCTCAAATGTAGGGGTTAAACCAGTCTTACTTGAGTTACAGTTCTTAAAAAAAATAAAAATCATCAAAGTCAAAGTTTTGAAAGAATCTAGTTATTTAAAGCTAAGTTTGAAACCAGTTCCTAGACTTTGAAACCACAAGTGGTAATCCATAGAAGCTTTCGCGCTGATCAAAATCTACAGGACGCTGACCCGGGCAGTGTTGCCAACTCCTCAGTAAGGAAAGTAGCTATTGGCTGTCCCAAAAGTCGCTAGAAGTCGCTAAATGACGTCATCGCCTAATTTGCATAATTTGCCATTTGCAAATAACTGTAACGGACGCTGTAGGAGAGAGGAATAAGGTCGTGGGAGAGACAAAAGTGAGTAAAAACACCCTAAATATGTTTAGAACTACAAATGTACAAAAATAATTTCAACATTAACAACATTTAATGATTTTAATGCTTTGTCTAGATCCACATTACACACATCAGTTTTGTCCTGTATTGTTAAATGTTATAACAGCAAATGTAATCAAAAGATTGTTATGTAGGGTGAAATTGCTAGCTCTACAACCAACCCTCCTCCTTTATCCGGGCTTGGGACCGGCAAAGTGACCCAAAAGACACACTCTGGCAGAGTTACTTAGGTTTATTTTTGTAAGTTTTTTTTTTTTTTTCATAGTTTGGCATAACAAATGATTTAATGTGACCCACTACTGAGAGAAAACAGAGTCACGGACAGAGCTGCCGCGGATGGAGTGGGGGGTAGTGGGGGGTGGCGGTGGTAGGAGTGGCCGGGGAGCTTTGGATGTGTGGTGGTGGTGGAGCTGAAGTTCAGTCTGCAGCAGCCTGAAAACTTCCTGTGCTTTTGAGTCTCCTCTCTCTCTGCTCCGCCCATAGACTGTAGCTGGGACTGCTGCGCAAGGCTACTGTGAGACTGGCCGCCTGTAAGTGCTTTGGGACGGGGGAGGGGCTCACGTTGAGGACAGCAGAACAATACGTGCTTCACGAGTCTCCAAAACACCAGATAAGTCGCCAAAACACCAGATAAGTCGCCAATAACACCAGAAAAAGTCGCTAGATTTGTCGCTAGTCGCTTTTTTGAAAAAAAGTCGCTATAGGGGTCTGAAAAGTCGCTAAATCTAGCGACAAAGTCGCTAAGTTGGCAACACTGGACCCGGGCTGTCGTGTCCTTTTCGCCAGCCCTGTCCATGGGAAACACAGCGGTAACTTTGACACCAAACCGTTTTATCATAAGGACCATTTCATGTTTTGACTGCAGTATGCATCATTGTCCGCTGTTAGATTATTTTAGGCACATGCTTGTTTGCTTCCCATATGCGCTGATTTAACGCATTTTAACTGGACAAAACAATATGATTTGTAGATTTACATTTACAAGATTAATTCAAAGATTTAGTTTAAGTGTGAGGGGGTAACTTTTTTCACATAAGTAAGCGAGTCGCACAGTTGTTCATCACATTTGGTTTATTAGATTGAATCCTTGCGCGCAATTTAGACACAACATGGTTGTGAATTTCACATGATTTGTCAAATGAACACATTATTATAAATAATACGTATACATGACACGGGGAATTTGAACACAGGTCCAAAATCTTATGTCACTTGTTCTTGTTCTTTCTCTAGACCGTTTGGTTCTAGTTTTCACATGCATATTATACGTACATGCAGGTACAGTATAATTTGCTTAAATAATTGGCATTTGAAGCATTGCCTTTGAAACACTTAAACAAAATTATGTTGTCGAAAGGTTTTACACTGACAGAGACAACTAAAAGTATCTGAATGTAAATACCTGGCTAACCACTTAATTCGTGTTTTCATGTCATTTTAACATCTGAAAAGTAGATAAATACATTCCATACATACAAGTTCCATTCAAAATAATAATTTGAAAATGTAAGGGGAAAGTATATGGTTTTAAACATAAGGAGTAAACGTTTTAAGAATGATACTAACGTTTTCAGAATAAAGTAGCATAAAAAATAGATATAACTTAGTAGTACAGTGCTTAGAAAAAAGTTCTTGCCACCTCTGCAACATATAGAATCTTAACTAAGTTTCAAACCAAGTGTGTAATAAAAGCGGGCAAGTATGTAATATGATCCATACTACTTTATGGCTCCAAAAAAATGTGGTTCTACCACTAGTTTGACATGCATGTAAGAACACATTTTCTTCAGAATAGGTGTAGTTTTGTATTTAAAAAGAGAGCATGATATGTCTCCTTTAAGTGTAAATATGACACCCCTCCCCTCCCGTCTCTTCTCTCCCTGTAGGAGTGGTCAGTGAGCTGTTATCTGGACATTCTTCTCTGCGCTCTGGACATAAGACCATCTATCTCTGCGCTCTTCCACTAGACACATTTCTGTTTTAGCCTTTTTTTCTCCCATCAACATGGCTGTGCAAAAATCTACCCTAATACTACTTGTGGTCTTCACTATCGCCGCTTCGGGTCCCACTGCCAACCCAGGTATGTGTTCTAATTATTAACAAGCTTTGCAAACCCAACATTGTTCAGTCTAAAAAAAATAAGATCATCATTTAAATTACAATTGCACTGTGTGCACACGTACTGTATTTCCAGCTATGGAAATGTTTTTGGGATGTATGCAGTTTGTTGATTTAAGGCTTTGCGCTTTCTAGGAAAAAGTCTTGCACAAGGTGCTTGGAATTGGCTGCTCAATGTGTTCCCAGAGATTTCCATTGCACCCTATTACTGCTTTAGCTCAATGTGCACAGTTACAAATCTAAAGAATGCTTTAGTCTTTGTTTTATTAGTAATAAAGTACCATTTTGGGAATAATTCTCTATTTTATGCATCATTTACAGCAAGAGGTTAAGAAGACTATAGGACTAGGTCAAGAAAAAGTGCAATTCTTGTGTGTCCTTTTACAGCTCATGTGATATGATACATAAAATGAACGTTTCAAATGTACTAATTTTATTATAATGAGCCAGATGATAATAGCTAGCAGAAGCTTGTTATCCTAAACATCGTGATGATATGGGATATAAGTTGAGGTTTAAAGTACAAACCACAAAAAACAAGTTCATCACTCTCAAAACCATTTGGTTTTATCATGCGCATTTTTGACCACTGTCACATCTTTAGATGATATTTTGCAGACAAAACATTATGGAGATACAACCAGTTTCTTGGACATGGATTGGAGGCATTTTTTCAGACTTTTTTTCTCTCAAGATGCACTTGTAAGGCACAGTGGCTAGCAGTTGTGCTTTACAGCAAGAAGGTCCTGGGTTCGAGTCCACCTACAGGCATTTCTGTGTGGAGTTTGCATGTCCTCCCCGCGTCTGCTCTGGTTTTCTTTCAAGTGCTCTGGTTTTCCCTACCACTAAAAACATGTTTCAATAGGTCTGACATGTGCCTCCTGTATGGCGACCCTGCTCCCATCTCTCTGTGTTGAATAAAATGCCCAAAGAAAAAAAAAGACACAAATTTACTCTGTCTATAAAGATAGACAGGAGAATGTTATGATTTAACAAGAGTGTTCTGAAGACAACCCGAGATGCACAAGGAGACTGGATCTTCCAGTGAGTGATCTCAGAATGTCAGGTCCTGACCCTTTGCTGTGCACAGACCTCCTCTAGTATTCCTCTGCAATGTCTATTTGTGGTTTACTGTAATAGTCCAAGGAAATTTTGGACTGTAGTGTTGATGGTGAAGCCGCACACCATGCTATACATAATGTGTGCGATTACACAAAGGTTCAGTGCTGTTTTGATGCGTCTGAACTCTGGTTTACATTTTTAAGAATATTGTTGCACATTCTTGTTGTGTTCTGCATGTGGTAGTTTTCAAGCTGCCCGGAGCACCTCCCCAGGGAGGCGCCCAGGAGGCCTCCGGAACAGATGCCTGAGCCACCTCAACTGTTTCCTCTCGACGTGGAGAAGCAGCGGCTCCACTCCGAGCTCCTCCCGTGTAACTGAGCTCCTCACCCTATCTCTAAGGGAGCACCCAGCCACTCTCATTTTGACCGCTTGTATCTGTGATCTTGTTCTTTCGGTCCTTACCCAAAGCTCATGACCATAGGTGAGGGAGGGAACGAAGATTGACCGGTAAATCAAGAATTTTACCTTTCGGCTCAGCTCCCTCTTCATTCAATTCAATAAAGCGAGAGCATCCCTGAGCACGCTGCACCAATCCTCCTGTCAATCTCACGCTCCATCCTTCGCTCACTCGTGAACAAGACCCCGCGATACTTGAACTCCTCCACTTGAGGAAGGACCTCTCTACCCACCCACAGAGGACAAGGCACCTTTTTCTGGTCGTGCACCATGGCCTCAGATTTGGAGGTGCTGATTCTCATCCCAGCCGCTTCGCACTGCGCTGCAAACCGTCCCAGTGCATGCTGCAGTTCCTGGTTCGTTGGAGCCAACAGGACAATATCGTCCACAAACAGCAGAGATTAAATCTTGTGGTCCCCAAATCGGACCCCCTCCGGCCCTTGACTCCACCTAAAACTTCTGTCCATATAGACAGTGAACTTAACCAGTGACAGAGGGCAGCCTTGGCGGAGGCCAACATGCAATGGGAACAGGTTGATGCGAATGCAGCTCTGGCTTTAGTCATACAGAGACCAGACGGTCCTCAGAAGAGGACCCCGGTCTCAGGACCCCATACTCCATACATAGGTCCGGCATCACAATCTTTTTGCATCATCTGCTTATAATATAGGCCTACAATATTATGTTATGTATAACCTAGGCCTATATGTCCTCTCTTGACGCTACCACAAGCATGACACGGCTCCTTGGTCAATGCCAATCACTGCTGTTGTATTTGAGTGTGCATTATATTTTGACAAGTATGATCATTTGTATTTATTTTACCCACATTCCATTTGGCGTGTGAGACAGACAATAAACATTTTGAAAATGTATGACTGTAAATATGTGTTTTTTATAACTAGATCATTTCATAACCAAAAGGTTGTAATACTATCAATATTTATATATTGTTTTATTGTTTTAAAATGCTTTTGCTTAAAGCTGCACTAACTGACTTTGGGATTTTGAAGCCACGGACTCGCTGGCCTCGCTCTTTCTGCTCCCCTCCCCGCACCCACGAAGCTATCGCCCCCCACACACACCCACTGTTGTTGACGGAGCTAGCTTCTCCCAATATGGATAATACATGGATATGGATTTGCACGTGGATGGCGTGACCATAGAACGATAGAACCAGGAAGCGCGGAGGAACGGGACTTTCTTTTGGATGGCTGTTTCGCTGTGTAAGCAGTAACCGGTGATGAAGACACGAAGCTTCAGGTTAGCTCCTCGGCTTGTTGTGCTAACTCAGCCGTCTATGCTAACGGACCTGTAGATTTCTCACAAAAGTGGGGGCCAGTGGTCCGCTGTGATTGGTCACAATCTGCGACCCGAAACACATTCTCTTCCTTGTTTCATCAAAACTCGATCTAAAATATAATGTCACGCCAGCACAAATCTGCGCTACTTTTTCTTCAAAAGGACGTATATCCCAATGCACTGCTTGGACATGGATAGCACTTTCGTAATGAATACAAAAATAAAGTCAGTTAGTGCAGCTTTAAACAAAACATGTACAATACTTTCCATACGTATTTAATGATAAGTGCAATATGAACCGATTCATGGCCTTATAGGAAAGTTAAACATGCAACGGTCCTAGTGATAAAACAAAATTCATAGCAAGTAAACTAGAGTGGTCCAAAAAAATTTGCCCCCCTCAGCATTGACACACATGTGGAACGGAGCTTTGGGCCAAGAACCAACTTTTGGACCATCCTGTAAAGACGTTTTCGAGAGGTCTGCCAATGCTATATGTTAGCATTGGCTAATTCTTATTCCGGGTCCACCCCCATCGGCCCGGGGTGGTATTGCTAGCATGTCAGCGCACGTCATTTTGGCCACTTTTGAGCTGGGACCCTCCCCCACTGGTGAAAACGCAAGCGTTAAGAAACAGCCCCCAGAGTGGAACAGAACAGATAGGCTGCTACGCAAAGCTGTTGTTTCAGTTTCCATTTTCACAGCTAATGTTAAATGTAGGGCTGTCAAAATTATCGCGTTAACGCACGTTAATTAATATTTTTCATTAATCGCGTTAAAATTTTTTACGCATTTGACGCATGCCCATGCGTCCCATAATAACACTCAGAATGCCGCGGACACATGCGCGTGTAAGATGGGGACAGAGCAGGTAGGCCCTTTGGGAATTCAAGTTTTGAAAGAATACACGCGTGACCGCGGGGCACTTGTTGTTTCCTGTATGAACTCTGCATGATGAGCTGCGGGCGCGATAGCGCTCTGGACAGCAGGTCCCACTTCCAGCGGCTGTGATGACGGCGAACGGCGCTGCGTAATGGGATCATATCCAAGACCACGCACAGAACTATTACAGAACTATTCTCTAGTGTGCGTACGTGTCTTTGCGTAACCGATGCACACAATATGTACAGCGCTGAAGCTGGACTGCGGAGCCTCAGTCTCCTCCGTGTCTTCTCCCGAAGCGCACTCGCTGAATTAAAGCTGAGGTACCTAATTTTCCTTTCGACCATCAGTTCATGTTAGTTGTGCCAAAACAAGTAATGGTGTGAGCAAATCAAACCGATTTAATGACATTCTGCATTTCAGACTGTTTTGAAATGTCCCTCATCTGTAACAAACAATAGTTTTTGGTCTGAGTCTAAACAGAAAGACAGAATGTTAATAATGTTATTTCCATTTTATATGGATTTATTGTTATAACAAACAAATACAGTACATATGTTCACTAAGCTGTCATTTATCTTTCCATTCAAACAACAGTTTACAGAAAAATATGGCATAATTTTGCTAATAGTTTGAAATGTGATTAATTACGATTAATTAATTTTTAAGCTGTAATTAACTCGATTAAAAAAATTAATAGTTTGACAGCCCTAGTTAAATGCAGAATGAAGTTGGTGCATTCTTTCACGTCTTTGCGGTGGCCTGAGGAGGATGTTGTTGAAGAAGTGAATAAACTGCTGGGGGGCTGGGGGTTGCGTGTGTCGCATCACCTGGCAGTCAGTCAGTGCATGCTAATGAAGACTACACCACGTTTTTTTACTTTCTTCCTGCTGCAGTCCCAATTTAAGCCTGTTGTGCTTTCTTCCTGCTGCCGTCCCTGTGTAACCCTGTTGTGCTCCTAGTAGGAAAGTAAGTATTTAGTAAGTAAGTAAGAAAGTATGTTGTTTTTTTAGGCATTTTACCTCTCACAATGACAATGATGATTTAAAACAAAACATATTCAATTGTGAGAATGGCCCAGTCAAAATCCAGACCTAAATCCAATAGCAAATCTGTGGAAAGACCTGAGGACAGTCTTTCACAAACACTCTCCATCTACTGTTATTTGACAGATATTGAGTTGTTTTGTAAAGAGAAATGGGCTAAACTTTCTGATTCTACGTGTGCAAGCCTTGTAGAGTCATACAAACTTGCTTTTGG